TATTAGACCGATCCTTGGGGTCTGATTTCTCAAACAATCTACAAATGTAGCAGATTTTTTACAATGGCTCTGCATTGTTGCAGATCGATCTAAATCTTTTGTTTTATTTATTAAATATTTTGATAAGTTGCATTTTTTTCAATCAAGCAATGGTAACTATTTTGACATTTGGTTAACCAGATTTCAGGAAACCAGGGTTCAAAAGTAACCACTTTTCCAGGAACCGGAGTAATTTGATTACTTTCGGACCGCGAAACCATAACCCAGGTTATATTCGGACCACAGCCTTTATGTGATAAATTCTATAGAGTGAAAGGAATTTGAAAAAACGACTACATTCAGATTCAGATTTTGCTGCATAAATAAATTCTAAAGTGAGTTGAATGTTGAAGTACATAACTATAGGTTTTTACGTTATATTTAGGATGACGTCATAGAACAAGGACTGACAATGTTGTCAATGCCTATTTGTTCTCTTTTTATTTACCAGGATGTCGTAATAAATTATCAAGATCACTGACAGCTAAAAATAACGAAATAAATCGACACGCGTTATTTATTTGAAAATGTTTATTTAAATCATGCAAAGTCGCGCGCCGTTGCCAACCAGAAACATCCGAAATTCCCCTACTTTAAATGCGTTAAGAAGTATTTTTAGTTTTGTTAGGTTTGCAGCAGAAATTTACTAAATGTGACGTCATCCTAAATATAGCGTGAAAATCCTATAACTAGTCGTAATAATAACTACATTGGAATATGTTGTCTACAATGCAAGATATTCCCAAAGGTTGTTGGACTAGAGATTTTAGATCTTTTCCCAAAAAATTTTCTGAACAAAAATTACTGTCTTATAAGGGAGTAGAAAAGGAGGGTTCTGTGAAGCATCATCTTTTGGGATATAGAATGTTCAAAGCTTCAAGAGTAAAGTCTATAAACCTAGCAGTCTCAAGGTGGAAAAGAACTTCAGGAACTATATAATAATTAGGTGCTTTTTAGGTGCTAATTAGGGCCTTTAATTATAAATTAGGTGCTCCTTTAGTTTCTGAGATAATAAAAAGAAACTAAGGAACTGCTAGGTTTATAAAAACTAGCAGTCCCCTAGCAGATCCCTTAGTTTTTTTTGATTTTCTCAAAAACCAGAGGAGCACCTAATTTTTAATTAGAGGCTCAAATTAGCACCTAAAAAGCACCTAATTATTATATAGATCCCGAAGTTTTTTTGCCATTCTGACACACCAACAAGTAGACGTAAAGTCAGCAGTCCCCTAATAATTCAAAAAAAAATCTGTAACTCAGTTAATAATTAGTCAATTCTATTTTTTCTGTGACTATTAAGGAGCACCTAAAAAGCACCTAATTCTGATAGAAATGAAAATTTTGGAAAAATATTTTTCACTATAGGGAAGTACTAGCTTTCATAAACCTAGGGATCCCTTAGTTTTTTTTGATTTTCTCAGAAACTAGAGGAGCACCTAATTTTTAATTAGAGGCCCTAATTAGCACCTAAAAAGCACCTAATTATTATATAGATCCCGAAGTTTTTTTGCCATTCTGACACACCAACGAGTAGACGTAAAGTCAGCAGTCCCCTAATAATTAAAAAAAAATCTGTAACTCAGTTAATAATTAATCAATTCTATTTTATCTGTGACTATTAAGGAGCACCTAAAAAGCACCTAATTCTGATAGAAAAGAAAATTTTGGAAAAATATTTTTCACTATAGGGGAGTACTAGCTTTCATAATCAATCCCTTAGTTTTTTTTGATTTTCTCAAAACTAGAGGAGCACCTAATTATTATATAGCAGTCCCCTAATAAGTCAAAAAAAAATCTGTAACTTAGTTAATAATTAATCAATTCTATTTTTTCTGTGACTATTAAGGAGCACCTAAAAAGCACCTAATTCTGATAAAAAAGAAAATTTTGGAAAAATATTTTTCATTATAGGGGAGTACTAGCTTTCATAAACCTAGCGATCCCTTAGTTTTTTTTGATTTTCTCAAAAACTAGAGAAGCACCTAATTTTTAATTAGAGGCCCTAATTAGCACCTAAAAAGCACCTAATTATTTTATAAATCCCGAAGTTTTTTTCCATTCTGACACACCAACAAGTAGACGTAAAGTCAGCAGTCCCCTAATAATTTTAAAAAAAATCTGTAACTCAGTTATTGATTATTGATTATTTAGGAGCACTTAAAAAGTACCTAATTCTGATACAAAAGAAAATTTTGGAAAAATATTTTTCACTATAGGGGAGTACTAGCTTTCATAAACCTAGCGATCCCTTAGTTTTTTTTGATTTTCTCAGAAACTAGAGGAGCACCTAATTTTTAATTAGAGGCCCTAATTAGCACCTAAAAAGCACCTAATTATTATATAGATCCCGAAGTTTTTTTTGTCATTCTGACACACCAACATGTAAACGTAAAGCCAGCAGTCCCCTAATAATTAAAAAAAATCTGGAACTCAGTTAATAATTAATCAATTCTATTTTTTCTTGGACTATTTAGGAGCACCTTAAAATCACCTAATTCTGATACAAAAAAAAAATCTGAAAAAATATTTTTGACTATAGGGGACTGCTAGGTTTTATAAACCTAACAGTCTCTTGGTTTTTTTTGATTTTCTCAAAAACTAAAGGAGCACCTAATTTTTAATTAGACGCCCTAATTAGCACCTAAAAAGCACCTAATTATTATATAGTTCCCGAAGTTTTCTTCCACCTTGTGACTGCTAGGTTTATATACCTTCAAAACTAAGCGATATTTACTTACATTATTCTATAAATTCGATTTTAGTAAAAGCTAATGTTGAAGCAACTATGAAGAAACAAAGATATACCTTTGCCATATAGTATACAGTGTGATTTTTTGAGTGTGCAACATGTGGGAATTTTTTTTAGTAATAGCACAACCCAAATACAAACGAGACCAAAAATTGGTGCATGTAGATAATCATATTAGATACACTTGGTTGCAAGTCAAACAGCATACAGGGTAGCTCAAAAAATATCAAAATTGTAGTAATATTTTACTTAAATAAAATAAAACTTTTGCACTTCAAGGAGAGTTTTTTAATTTTGCATATTATCATCAGTAATATTTTAGTTTGTTAGAAAAAAAATTGCGACATTTTAAAGTTGTGTTGAATATCATTGCAACAAACATGAATTTTGTGATTTCATAAAAAATTAAAAATCTAAGTTAATTTTACTTTAATTTTAACAAAGTTATGTAAAATCGATTTGATTTCAATTAATTTTTGGAAATATTAAGGGCGGAAATAAAAAATAAAAAAAATATAGAAATTATTATTAATGTTTTTTGAAAAAAAAAATTAAAAAAACCTAGGCCATGTTTTGGTATTCAGGCATAACTTTTAATTCCAAACAACTTTTCTTAATAACATTTTGCTGAATTTTCTAAAATAAGGGTACTTTACAGTACAATTTTGATATTGTTTCAGCTACCCTGTATGCTGTTTGACTTGCAACCATTCTGAGTACATTTTATATGATTATCAGGCATGCACTAAAAGTTGGCCTTGTTTGTATTTGGCTTTTCCTATTACTAAAAAAATCCCCATATGTTGCACACTTAAGAAATCACACTATAGATAGAAAGCTGAAACTTTCACTAAATTTTATCCCAATCAAGGGACTACAATCCCTGAGAATTTCAGCTCATTTGCACTTATAGTTCCTGTACTTATCTCAGTAGAGCCAAAGGGATTATCAACATGAACCAAAAATATCCAGGATAAATCCTCTCTTTAAATAAATTAGGAAACCTGCAGGAAAATAGCACACAGTTTTTTTAAATATTTTAATTTTATACAGGGTGTAAAAACTGTAAAAGTTGCGAGGTCGGGTACTCAAACCTCAATCAATCAAGAGTCAGTGGAAATAATTGAACAAATCAAGAATCAAGTAACTAAATTTTGAACTATTTTCGAGTCTCGAATTATTCTAACTTACTAGTCTGATATTATCGTTTCTAAGATAGCAATAGAATCACCTAAAATGGACTAATGGACACGATGTATAAGCTAGATATTATGTATTTCATATGAAATTAGGTATGTATATTGCAGAAGTGATACAAGTATTGACTTTTTGAATAAATTGTGCTTGAGCATTATAAGAGAAAATTGAAAATCATGTCATTATTTCATGTAGGGACATGGGACATGAAATTGAAAATTTTATCCTACGTCACATTATAATGAATAGATAAACTCAAACTGTATTTATATCCTCAATGGATTGAAAATACCAATTTAGGTTGAGCGTCCTACTTTCAAAAGAAATCTTCAAACATTATAATTTAAAATTTTTGCTCCAGAGTTTAATCAACTGTGAAGAATAGATAGCGAGGGTAATGTCATTGATAAACTTTCAAATATATTTTACGTCTTCGCTTTAGGGGAGTTTCTGAATATTTCATCAGAGGCCCCATTATAATGTTTTTCATAAGTATAACATGGAAATTAGAAACGAAAAAACTCAATAAAATTGCTTGTTCCCATAGTTAAGTTTAATTTCCTGAATATGTACCTACTAAATGGGTATCTAAAGATCTTTCCTGAAATTAAAAACTCAAGGGTTTATTTGGGTAGAAACCTTGCCGTCCCAAAATACTTAAGTGATCCAATTACAGACCACAACAGAAATATTATAATGAAGATGACCCATCATTTAAGTCTAGACTTAGTAATTTAAATATAGACTAATAGGGATATCAACGCTCATCCGAAATAAATATGTATGTAAAGTAATAACAGGAGATGTCATTGGAATTAAAAGTAAAATTTTGGTAATTTTGTATGAAGTTAAATAGTGTTTTTGTTCATGTATATAATACTTTTAATCTAATTTCAGCTCTTCAAACATAACACATTAGCCTAATAAAGGTTTTTTTTTTTCACAGAAACTAGGGCACGGATCCTTATCATTGTAAACAATAATTATTTCTAAAAGGCTAAGTAAAAACATATCCAACCTGGGTATTCTGTCGTAGCTGTCCCAACTAGTTAAACAGTTGTACGATGAATATCTACTGGAAGAACCCATCGTAATATTTAGGTTAGCACGAGTTTAGGGAGCGACGCGGGCACGGAGCGCCTCATATTCACCGGACAAGGCGCCACACGCCACTGCTCTATAATAGGGGGATGGGACGACGTTTCCCGACGTCGACGACGACGCCGCTCCTTCGCGACTCCTCCCCGTACGCACGCACCTCTAACCATGGACCCGTTCATGCTTTTGTGAGTTTTAATACTTTAATGTCTTATGGAAATTTTACTACACCTTTTACAGCAGAATTAAGCAAAATATCATTTTGATTAAAGAAAGTATCATTTGTATTTTAGAATTGAATTCAAAAGAAACACAAAGTCTTCCTCCACACAAATTTTTAATTAAAAAATTAAAAAGCCCTACATGTTTTGAAGCTATTAGAGCTTCATCATCAGGGGCAAGTTTGCTCAATACTACTAGTAAAAGTGCTATGCCGGTTCTGGCGCAATTTCATTCATTTTCCCATGTAAATCTCCATGGATTAAATTGTGCTAGAACCAGCATAGCACCTTTACTACTACTTATACAGTTTTACATCGGAACATCTTTCATCTTTTTTCTTTTTGAAGACAAGAACAAGGATAAAAAAGTTTATTCTAATTTCACCTAAATCGCCTTTTTCACAAGTTGTTAAAATTGAATTTGATAGATGAATGCCCAATGAGCTTGTACAAAAGATTTCATCTTAGTGACATTTGACACTAGTTTGACATTTAGAGAAGCTCTAATTTCCATCAAACTTCAAAATATGTCATTTAATTTACCGATATGTCAATTCAATATGGCGCCGTAGGAATAACAAACTTGAGAACTGTAAAGGTACCTTTACATTGATTGCAATTTGAATTGAATGTAAACTAAGCTTTGTTAAGTTTGTTATCATGCCCACAGCGCCATATTGAATATTAAAAATTAACAGAATGTCAAATCACTCCATTGCTTAATTTAATAGCGTTTCTAATTTGTACCTAGATTTAATGCGCACTGACTGAGTGTATTTCCATCTCTTTCTCTCAGCTTTTTAAAGAAAGGGATGGAAATACATTTTGTTTGTACTAATGGCGATTTCCATTTGTCAATCAGTGCGCACTTTGAGTGTATCCGCATCTTTTTCTAAAAGCATGTAACATGTAAGGTTAAGGATACATTTTTTTTTTGCACTGGTTGCATAAATGGAAACCGCTTTAAGTCTACCAACCGGAACTCGAAAACCCTGTCAAATTGAGCAATAGGGCTATTTGACGTTCTGTGAATTTTATTAATATTCAATATGGCGTCTTACTTTACAAAACATCATTATTTTTTAAAATTCCTAACTCCATTAATAATAACTCAATTGCTTTGAGTTTTTAGTATTTTTTACATTAGGCCTTTAGGGAAAAATCCTCAAAATTTCAACTCCCAACTCATTTTAGTTTTTAAATGAAAAAATTGTTTGAAAAGTCTTACTTTACAAAACATCATTATTTAAAAAAAATCATAACTCCATTGATAATAACTCAATTGCTTTGAGTTTTTAGTATTTTTTACATTAGGCCTTTAGGGAAAAATCCTCAAAATTTCAACTCCCAACTCATTTTAGTTTTTAAATGAAAAAATTGTTTGAAAAGTCTTACTTTACAAAACATCATTATTTAAAAAAAATCATAACTCCATTGATAATAACTCAATTGCTTTGAGTTTTTAGTATTTTTTACATTAGGCCTTTAGGGAAAAATCCTCAAAATTTCAACTCCCAACTCATTTTAGTTTTTAAATGAAAAAATTGTTTGAAAAGTCTCACTTTACAAAACATCATTATTTAAAAAAAATCATAACTCCATTGATAATAACTCAATTGCTTTGAGTTTTTAGTATTTTTTACATTAGGCCTTTAGGGAAAAATCCTCAAAATTTCAACTCCCAACTCATTTTAGTTTTTAAATGAAAAAATTGTTTGAAAAGTCTTACTTTACAAAACATCATTATTTAAAAAAAATCATAACTCCATTGATAATAACTCAATTGCTTTGAGTTTTTAGTATTTTTTACATTAGGCCTTTAGGGAAAAATCCTCAAAATTTCAACTCCCAACTCATTTTAGTTTTTAAATGAAAAAATTGTTTGAAAAGTCTTACTTTACAAAACATCATTATTTAAAAAAAATCATAACTCCATTGATAATAACTCAATTGCTTTGAGTTTTTAGTATTTTTTACATTAGGCCTTTAGGGAAAAATCCTCAAAATTTCAACTCCCAACTCATTTTAGTTTTTAAATGAAAAAATTGTTTGAAAAGTCTCACTTTACAAAACATCATTATTTAAAAAAAATCATAACTCCATTGATAATAACTCAATTGCTTTGAGTTTTTAGTATTTTTTACATTAGGCCTTTAGGGAAAAATCCTCAAAATTTCAACTCCCAACTCATTTTAGTTTTTAAATGAAAAAATTGTTTGAAAAGTCTTACTTTACAAAACATCATTATTTAAAAAAAATCATAACTCCATTGATAATAACTCAATTGCTTTGAGTTTTTAGTATTTTTTACATTAGGCCTTTAGGGAAAAATCCTCAAAATTTCAACTCCCAACTCATTTTAGTTTTTAAATGAAAAAATTGTTTGAAAAGTCTTACTTTACAAAACATCATTATTTAAAAAAAATCATAACTCCATTGATAATAACTCAATTGCTTTGAGTTTTTAGTATTTTTTACATTAGGCCTTTAGGGAAAAATCCTCAAAATTTCAACTCCCAACTCATTTTAGTTTTTAAATGAAAAAATTGTTTGAAAAGTCTCACTTTACAAAACATCATTATTTAAAAAAAATCATAACTCCATTGATAATAACTCAATTGCTTTGAGTTTTTAGTATTTTTTACATTAGGCCTTTAGGGAAAAATCCTCAAAATTTCAACTCCCAACTCATTTTAGTTTTTAAATGAAAAAATTGTTTGAAAAGTCTTACTTTACAAAACATCATTATTTAAAAAAAATCATAACTCCATTGATAATAACTCAATTGCTTTGAGTTTTTAGTATTTTTTACATTAGGCCTTTAGGGAAAAATCCTCAAAATTTCAACTCCCAACTCATTTTAGTTTTTAAATGAAAAAATTGTTTGAAAAGTCTTACTTTACAAAACATCATTATTTAAAAAAAATCATAACTCCATTGATAATAACTCAATTGCTTTGAGTTTTTAGTATTTTTTACATTAGGCCTTTAGGGAAAAATCCTCAAAATTTCAACTCCCAACTCATTTTAGTTTTTAAATGAAAAAATTGTTTGAAAAGTCTTACTTTACAAAACATCATTATTTAAAAAAAATCATAACTCCATTGATAATAACTCAATTGCTTTGAGTTTTTAGTATTTTTTACATTAGGCCTTTAGGGAAAAATCCTCAAAATTTCAACTCCCAACTCATTTTAGTTTTTAAATGAAAAAATTGTTTGAAAAGTCTCACTTTACAAAACATCATTATTTAAAAAAAATCATAACTCCATTGATAATAACTCAATTGCTTTGAGTTTTTAGTATTTTTTACATTAGGCCTTTAGGGAAAAATCCTCAAAATTTCAACTCCCAACTCATTTTAGTTTTTAAATGAAAAAATTGTTTGAAAAGTCTTACTTTACAAAACATCATTATTTAAAAAAAATCATAACTCCATTGATAATAACTCAATTGCTTTGAGTTTTTAGTATTTTTTACATTAGGCCTTTAGGGAAAAATCCTCAAAATTTCAACTCCCAACTCATTTTAGTTTTTAAATGAAAAAATTGTTTGAAAAGTCTTACTTTACAAAACATCATTATTTAAAAAAAATCATAACTCCATTGATAATAACTCAATTGCTTTGAGTTTTTAGTATTTTTTACATTAGGCCTTTAGGGAAAAATCCTCAAAATTTCAACTCCCAACTCATTTTAGTTTTTAAATGAAAAAATTGTTTGAAAAGTCTCACTTTACAAAACATCATTATTTAAAAAAAATCATAACTCCATTGATAATAACTCAATTGCTTTGAGTTTTTAGTATTTTTTACATTAGGCCTTTAGGGAAAAATCCTCAAAATTTCAACTCCCAACTCATTTTAGTTTTTAAATGAAAAAATTGTTTGAAAAGTCTTACTTTACAAAACATCATTATTTAAAAAAAATCATAACTCCATTGATAATAACTCAATTGCTTTGAGTTTTTAGTATTTTTTACATTAGGCCTTTAGGGAAAAATCCTCAAAATTTCAATTCCCAACTCATTTTAGTTTTTAAATGAAAAAATTGTTTGAAAAGTCTTACTTTACAAAACATCATTATTTAAAAAAAATCATAACTCCATTGATAATAACTCAATTGCTTTGAGTTTCTAGTAATTTTTACATTGAGTCTTTAGCAAAAAAAGTTGAAATTTTGAGTCAACTCTCTGCTCACTTTAGTTTTTGAGTGAAAAAATTGTTTTTAGTCCTACTTTACAAAATATCATTATTTTAAAAAAATCATAACTCCATTAATAATAACTCAATTGCTTGGAGTTTTTAGTATTTTTTACATTGAACTTTTAGGAAAAAGTCCCATAATTTCAATTCTCCACTTACTTTAGTTTTTAAGTGAAAAAATTGTAAAGTCTTACTGTACAAAACATTATTATTTTTAAAAAATCATAACTCCATTAATAATAACTCAATTGCTTTGAGTTTTTAGTATTTTTTACATTGAACCTTTAGGAAAAGTTCTCAAAATTTCAACTAACCCAAACCAACGGGAAACGCTATCAAAATAGGGCGATTTGACGTTCTGTGAATCAATTAATATGAAATATGGGCATAACAAACCTGACAATCCTAAAGGTATTTTTATATACAATTCAAATTGCAATTAATTGTAATTAAATGTAATGATCTCCAAGTTTCTTACGCCTATGGCGCCATATTGAATATTTAATAATCTGTATGCCTAAACATAATGCAAACCTCCATAAGAACTACCTGATGACGTCACCTGTTTACCATTGCCAGACAACGCTCATTTTACAGGTATAAATACGAGAATTTTGATATTCACGACCTA